GTCCGCCCGCCCGCAGAAGATGGTGGAGAGCCAGCGGCAGAACGTGCTGGCGGAGTTCGAGCGGCTGCGCCGGCTGCTTGCGGAGGACGAGCGGCGTCTGCTGCGCAGGCTGGAGGACGAAGAGCTGGAGGTGCTGCCCCCGCTGCGGGACAGCGCGGCCCGCCTGGGGCAGCAGAGCGCCCAGCTGGCCCAGCTCATCGCTGAGCTGGAGGGGCGCTGCCAGCTGCCGGCGCTGGGGTTGCTGCAGGTGAGCCGCGCCGCGCGCCTGCACGCGCGTGCCCGTGAAAGGCGGGGGCGGGCCCGCCAGGGCAGGTACCCCTCGTGGGTCTTGCGCAGTGGACACAGGTCCCGAACCCCGCCAGCAGTTCGCGGGCCGCTCCTGGAGCCTGTTCGCACTCGGGCCGGCCTGCGTGGCGGGTGGCATCCAGGGTCCATGGGTCCCCAGGCTGGCTCCAAAGGTCCGGGTCCACTGTGTGGAGGAGGAAGCCTGGCAGGTGTCCCGTCGGAGCCCTGCATCAGCCCCGTGTCGCCCGGACACTCGGCCTGGCTCCTGACCCCCGGCCCCAGGCGGGAGTGAGGACGCTATGCGCTATGTGCGCATCCCAGGGCACTTCCCGCGGGGGGTGGCCCTCCTGAGTCCCAGAGCTGAGCGGACCTCCAGGGACCAGGCAGAGGCTCTTGACGGCCCTCCTGGGGTTTGACCTTGGTCCTTCCACCGCTGCTGAGACCTCGGGTGGTTTCCGGCCTGGGAAACAGGAAGAACCCCAGGCGGGTGTCTGGGGGGGAGTGAGGGAAGTCGGCAGAAGTAGGCTGTGGTCACTGAGGTGGGGTCTGGGTGGCCAGCCAAGGAGGTCAGGGGAAGTGAATGGTGCTGGAGAAGCCAGAGGAAGTGGAGGTTCTGGAAAGAGGAGGGGTCAGCCCCAGAAGTGAGATGAGAACCCCAGGTCTGTATGAAACGTGATTTGGGGTCTCAGCTTAGATGTCCCAGTGTGTGGGACATCTGCACTCTTGGATTTCATACTAAAAGTGACCACCTGTGCCCCCGCTGCCCCTCCCTGCTGCCATCTGCTCGCCACTGCCCCCTACCTGCTTCCCACTGCCCTCACCCCTACCTGCTCACCGCTGCTGACCTGGGGTCTTTGCCTGGGTGGCCAGCTATAGGGAAGAGCCCCCCTCACCCCTCCCCCAGCCTCAGGGCTTCCCCTTGCCTGTGCTGGGGGTAGGGGTGGGGTCTGCTGCGTGGAGGGGCAAGACAGCAGCCCCGGGCAGTCCCCCCCCCCCCAGTTTACTGGTGTCAATAAGGGAGGTCAGGTGTGCCCGCACCATCGGACCTCAGTGTTCGGTGGAGGCCCACCCACCACAGGGAGTGGCCAGGTCAGGTTCTGGCACCTGGGGTGGGCAGGGGATGTGCCCTCACAGAGGAAGTTAGGGTGTGGGTGACATCAGGAGGCCACATCCTGGGTCCCAGCTTCCCTTCCAGGCTTGCCGTGTAGCCGTCCTGTGTAGGTGCAGAGCCTTTTCCTAAAGGAACATGTGTCTCCCAAGGGGCCAGGTGGTGTACATGGAGGCCAACCCCTTAAGGTTAAGACCCCTGCAGGACCCTCGGGGCAGGGAGGGTCTTGTGTGGTGTGTCCACACATACTGTTCCTGAGTGGGTTGGCCTGTGACAACCAGGACTATCCCCTTCACTTCCCAGTGCCCCGGAGTTGGCCACCCACCCCGTGAAACTACCAAGGACAGGCTCTTTCTGCTTTGCCTGCTGCCCACACCAAGCTCCTTGTGCCCCAGGCCCTTTGCACATGTCTCTTCCAGTCCTGCACTGTCCCCCTCACTGTATCTTCAGAAACCTACAGTCTCCCTTTTCCTTTGAGGCCTTATGTGTCTTGTCGTACCCTTCCGCCAACCAACCCACACACAGACCATCACTCGTGTGTGTGCAGATCTCCCACCTCGAGGGAAACCCTCTATAGGCACCATGTCTTACTTACCTTTGCACCCCTGTTGGTTGGTGCGTGGTTAGAATCTCCACGGGTGGGCCGCCTGTGATTGACGGTGTGGACCAGGCAGGTACCTGCTGTTCTCAGGGGTTGTTCTAAAAAGACCAAAGACTTCCCATCAATAGCCAGTGTTCTAAGTAATTGAATGTCCCAGTCAGCTCGGGCTGCTAACAAATACCACAGGCTGGGAGGTTTAAACAACACACATTTATTGTGTCCCTGTCCTGGGGACGAGAAGTCACAGATCCGGGCGTGAGTGGGGCTGGTTCCTCCGAGGCCTCCCTCCTGCCCGTGTCCTCACGTGGTCGGCGGCGTGTGTATCTGTTCCTTGATCCCCTCTTCCGGTAAGGACTCCAGTCATGCGGGATCTGGGACTACCTTAGTGACCTCCTTATACCTTAACCACCTCTGTAAAGACCCCATCTCCAAATACAGCCTCATTCTGAGTTCCTGGGGGTTGGGTCTCCAACATTTTGATGCGAGGGACATGGTTAGTTTGTGATGCTGAGTGAAATGCTTGTATGTGTCATTATGGGAGAGCAGAACATCCAAGTGGAGAGGCCTCACCTGGAAGGTGGGTGTGTCACGGTCTCCGGGAGGGCAGGCGGGCATGTGCGTGGGACCAGGCACCAGTGAGCCCTGGGAGGCGGGAAGCGCTGGGCCAACACAGGCATGGCTCCCCGCTGGGGGGCCGGGTCCCCGCCCGCCTGTCCCACCACCCAGGGGCGCTGGGGACTCGGTGGGTGAGCCGGTAGCTGAGGCGCTGTATCCTCCGAGTGTGCTGAGGGAGTGAGGGCAGGTCTGCAGGGCTGGCCGTGCCCAGAGGCTTTCAAGGGTCCCCGTGTCTGAGCTGCATGGGGGGACAGCCCATGCGTGGGTTCTCATCACGTGTGTGTGTGTCTGCAGAGCGGGCAGCACAAGGGTTTGGGGGCACTGTTGGCCGGGACGTGGGGAGGATCAGAGGATCGGGGACAGGCGCTGATGCCGCGTGTGTCTCTCCCACAGGACATCAGGGACACCCTGCGCAGGTAGGAGCCGCGGCCTCTCCCCGGGGAAGGTGGGCGGGGCGCAGGGTGGGGCTGCCCTGGGGCGTGACGCCTGCGCCACCCCTGCAGGGTCCAGGATGTGAAGCTGCAGCCGCCTGAGGTGGTACCCATGGAGATGAGGACGGTGTGCAGGGTTCCGGGGCTGGTGGAGGCCCTGCGCAGATTCCGAGGTGGGTGCCGTGTGGTCCCGAGCGCCTGCGCGCTCGCGGGGCCCGGGTGGGTCTGCGGTAGGAGTGAACCTAGGCTCCCGGTTCACAGAAACCCCCGTGGGGGGAGGGGCTGTGGGCTGACGGGTGCAGGGATAGCGGAGGTGAGACCCGACCCCCCGCCCGCTGGGGTCCAAGAGGTGCCGGAGCGCCTGCGTGCCCCCAGGCGTGGGGAGTGCCGCGCGCTCCAGGAACTGAAAGGTGTGGGAAGATGGCTGTAGGAAGCCCCTGGGGTTTCTTCTGTCCTCTAAAGGAGGGCGCATCGCAAGGGAGCACGGACCACTTTCTAGAACGTTCCCAGTTGCGGGGGCAAGCCGGTAGGTGATTTTTTTCAGACAGAGCATCATGCGGCATGCTCAGCGCGCAGGCAGGGGTGCACGGGCAGGCCTGCAGACTCACGGGGCGACCTCTGCTCCGTCTGCAGGGGACGTGACCCTGGACCCCGACACCGCCAACCCCGAGCTGGTCCTGTCGGAAGACAGGAAGAGCGTGCGGCGGGGGGACCTGCGGCAGGCCCTGCCCGACAGCCCCGAGCGGTTCGACCCCGGGCCCTGCGTGCTGGGCCGGGAGCCCCTCACCTCGGGCCGCCATTACTGGGAGGTGGAGGTGGGAGAGCGGGCCAGCTGGGCGCTGGGCGTGTGCAGGGAGAACGCCAACCGCAAGGAGAAGGGTGAGCTGTTCGCGGGCAACGGGTTCTGGATCCTGGTGTTCCTGGGCAGCTACTACAACTCCTCCGAGCGGGCCTTCGCCCCACTCCGGGACCCGCCGCGGCGCGTGGGCATCTTCCTGGACTATGAGGCCGGACATCTGTCCTTCTACAGCGCCACCGATGGCTCCCTCTTGTACGCCTTCCCCGAGACCCCCTTCTCGGGGACCCTGCGGGCCCTGTTCTCGCCTCTGTCCAGCAGCCCGACCCCCATGACCATCTGCAGGCTGAAAGGCGGGCCTGGGGACTCGCTGGCTCCCCAGTGAGGGGGCCTCCCAGCTGCTCAGGAACCTGGGCATCTCCTGCGGTCCTCTGAGCTGGGGAAGCGCTCACGGTGCCCGGTGGATGTGCGGGTGCGCACTCACTCCTGCAAGCGTGTGCCCGCGTGTGCGGGGCCGGCTTGGTCCTGCTGTCCGGGCGGAGGGCCCTGAGACACCCGCGCTCACCAGCGCCGGGCCCTGAGCCTTGCGCGCCCCCCACTCCCCGCGGCCCTGGAGCTATCCCTCCAGAAAGCTGCGGCCAGGAGGCAGCTCCAAGGCCGCGCGCCCATGTGCAGTCCGGTCCTGGAGAATGGGGGGTGGGTTGGGCTTGCCCTGCAGTAGCCAGGTACCCGGTGGTAGGCCAGAGGGAGCTGGGAGCAGGACACCCGAGCACCCCCTCCCCCGAACACAGACCACTGGGGGCTTCTGGCTCCTGTTGCAGATAGAGCAGGTCCGTGGGGAGCAGGCACAGAAGCCCCCCGGTTTCCCTCCGAGCTGCCCGGAGAACCCCCAGCTGGAGTCACCCTCGCAGTTCTGTCCTCGCTGGCCTGGGGGCCTCCTGACCCCAGAACTTCGCGTACCTGGTCCCCAGTCTTTCCTGCCCTGCCTGGGGGCAGGTGAGGCCTCAGAGAGCATCCCCCACACACCTTCTGGCTACCAGAGTCTGGGATTTGTCTTTGCTTTGTTCAGACTTTGCCTCACCCTCCCTAAAGGTCTGCCCCAGCTTCTTCGTACCACTAGATTGTATTTATTGTAAGGACTGTTCTCACAGTAAATAAACTAACCGTTGTCTGTAATCCACTGTCTGCAATTGGGGGGAGGGGAGGAAATGCCGGAGAGGGGTGACACAGAGGCAGGACCCCCAAGGTCAGGTTCAGGGGCGCTCTTCTGTGTGTTCATTTCACACAACGGCCTCAGGAGTTGTTTTCTTGTTTTTTCAGAGAGCCTGAAGATACTCTGCAGGCGCCATTGTGTTCAGTAGCTAAGTACTTTCCCGTGCACTTGGTTACACAATCATTCTCCCATTCTGGGGCTTTTTGCTGTACACACACACACACACCCCATTCCATCTTCGACAGTTCCTTCAAATTACATACACCGGAGAGTGTTTCCCCACCCCCCCGTGGACCTGGGTTCTGGCAGTTTCCCACGTCTCTCCAAGCAACTTCCCTCTGCCTCACTCGCTGAATCTGGGCGATACTGGCTGTTTTCCCCAGAAGCAAGATCGGGCTGTGAGGGTTTGGGACTTGCACGATGGCCATCAGAAACCCAGCTGGAGGGACACCCTCATGGGTAGGAGCACAGACAGGCACACAGCCACACGCGGGACACCAGGACGGACCCTCTGGAAACTTGCCTGCCCCCTTCTGAGGGCTTAGCTCAGAGCCCCATGATAAGAGATCAACAATAGAAAAACAAGTTCTCGACACCCAGACCTCGTGTACCGGGGGAGATGACCTGAGGAAAACGAGGACCTCAGAGCAGGAGCCTGGAGCTGCAGCTTACGCGTGTTCAACCAGCACACGATGTTGTGGACACATGTCGGGATGCGTTAGGCTTCAAGGCACCAGCCCCGTGGAGGTAAACAGTGGTAGACAAAGGCTAGTTAGTACGATCCTGTGGGGTCCCCCGGTGCCATGTCCAGGCTAATAGGGTCTAGAGTTCTCTCCTGTGACCGGCAGTCCTTCCTGGCATGGAGGACGGAGACAGGGACACCTAAATTTACATCCTGCTCTTAGAGAGGTAGAGGAAGGGCATGCTTCTCACCTGCCTCGAGCTCAAATTAATCCTCCTGCCCAAGTGGGCTACTTGCAGCTGTCACACTCTGCTACCCTGCGGCAGGGAGAATGAGAATAAGCTTCAGTGATGCCCATTCACGAGTGTGGACCCAAAATTCACATGCTTGCTCTTTCCATGTGGCCTGCCTGCTTGCATCCGCTGTTGCAGATGGTGGACAGGCCTCTCCAGCAGCATGCAGTCTCCTGCCTGTGGAGCTGATACCCATGTGAGGGGTGGGTGATGACCTGTCACAGATGTCCCCACTAGCAGGTGTGAGCCCCTCCATGACCCACTGACGAGCCCCTCCGCCGGCTTTCAGCCCCTCATGGTGGGTGAGTGCTCCGGAGGCGGATACGGCAAGGATTCAAGTGCAGAGCCAGGATGTGTGGGATGTGGGCAGCCATCTAGAGCTTCCAAAAATAACCCTTCACACAGCCCACCGTGTCCTGGAGTGCCCAGAAGCCTTACTTCCTGTTAGCTCAGCCGTCCAATGGGGAAACGGGAGAGAAAGCAGGTAGAAAAGAAAAGCAGGCCGTCTGGGTTGTGCTTAGTGGAATGAAGACAATATTCAGGAACGGGACGCCTACTCTAATCTTATGGCATTAGTAAGTACGGTAAAAAGAAAATCCAACACTAAAGCCAAACCTGCTGGGGCTGGCACTCGGTCTCTGCAACCCTTCCCCTCCTTCTGCACCTCTCCTGGTCAGTAGAGCATCCACAAAATGGTATTTTATTTATTTTATTTTATTTTTATTTTATTTTAATGTTATGTTAGTCACCAGTTAGTCATCATTAGTTTTTGATGTAGTGATCCGTGATTCATTGTTGGCGTATAACACCCAGTGCTCATTACAACACATGCCCTCCTCAATACCCATCACCAGGCTAACCCATCCCCCCACCGCCCTTCCCTCTAAAACCCTCAGTTTGTTTCTCATAGTGTCTCATGGTTCATCTCTCTAATTCCCCCCCCCCTCATTTTTCCCTTCCTTCTCCTAATGTCCTCCATGCTCTTCCTTATGTTCCACAAATAAGTGAAACCATATGATAATTGACTTTCTCTGCTTGACTTATTTCACTTAGCATAATCTCCTCCAGTCCCATCCATGTTGATGTAAAAGTTGGGTATTCATCCTTTCTGATGGCTGAGTAATATTCCATTGTATATATGGACCACATCTTCTTTATCCATTCATCTGTTGAAGGGCATCTCAGCTCTTTCCACAGTTTGGCTATTGCGGACATTGCTGCTATGAACATTGGGGTGCATATAGACCTTCTTTTCACTGCATCTGTGTCTTTGGGGTAAATACCCACTAGTGCAATTGCTGGGTCATAGGATAACTCTATTTTTAAATTTTTGAGGCACCTCCACACTGTTTTCCAAAGTGGCTGGACCAACTTGCATTCCCACCAACAGTGTAAGAGGGTTCCCCTTTCTCCACAACCTCTCCAACATTTGTTGTTTCTTTCCCTGTCCATTTTTGCCATTCTAATTGGTGTAAGGTGGTATCTCAATGTGGTTTTGATTTGGATTTCCCTGATGGCTAATGATGATGAACATTTTTTCATGTGTCTGTTAGCCATTTGTAGGTCTTCTTCAGAGAAGTGTCTTTTCATACCTTCTGCCCATTTTTTGACTTGATAAAGAACTTTTTAAACTCGGCACACAAGATGGTTTTAACAGACAAAACATCTGTCTTCTCTTGTTCCCTCACATGGAGACACCTTACTGCACCTAATCCGACAGCAGGTCAGTGACCTAAGCGATGTCCCGCTTCGCCCCGAGGCCTCGGGGAAGCTGGGTGGAGTCTCTGAGAGCACAGCCTGGATCTTAAATACCTTCACTGAGGTCTTGTACTTCACCTGCGGCACACGTACAACTGGGTGATTTCGCACGCTTTGATAGAGTTGCGCACCCAGCAGCGCGCATCCCGTTACCCCGGGAGCGCTGGAATCACTCCCGAAGTGGAGCCCGCCCGCGCCCGCGTCCCCCCAACCCGAGTCCGCACGACCCGAGGGTCGTTCTGGGGGTGCCGACGGCGCCTGGAGTCCGAAGGTCGGGTGGAGGACAGCCCAGTCCCACCTGCGCTGCGCGCGACCGCCCCGCCCATCACCCCGCATCCCCCGCACGTGCCCCTATGCTCCTCAGGCTCCACAACCCCCTTCACCTCGCCCAGCAACCACCCGCATCCTCCGCATCCCTGGGCCCCCTCCTCGGTCCTCCCATCCCTGCAGTCCCTGCTTCGCACCCCGCGCATCTCCCACATCCCTCCCACCCCCGCCCTTTCGTACCCCAGGTACCCCACACCCTCCCTGCTCCCCACGCCCCTGTCCCCCACGTCCCCTTAGCGAGTGCGCCCCCCTGAGTCCTCTGCACCCCTGCACTGACCCTGCCCTGCACAGCCCGACCAGCCTCCCGATGACCCTAGTACCGCCCTAGAATCCAGCTGTTTCAAGTGCACAGTCCTGGCCGGTAGATCCCTGTCGGTTGTCTGCATGTTGCTGGGTTCAGTTTCCAGGAGTGTTACGTTCGTGGTCGGTGACATGGGTCTGCAGCTGTCCGGGGGCTCTCGGTTCCCTACCTTACTAGTTTCTGAGCCATCTCGCGCAGGACTGCTATTTCCTCCATCGTGGTTTTCTGGGACTTTCCAGCGAAGCCCTCGGAGTCCTCGCTCTTCTACTTTCTGTTCCTATTTCTGTGTCATTGCTTCTTGCAGGGCTGTTCAGATTCTCCATGTCCGAAGTAACATTTCTCCTCTTTCATTTTTCATTTTGGTGATTTCCTTGTTTTTTCTTGGTCAGTAAAACTAACATTTTGTCAAAATGATTTTGACGTTTTCAGACAACTTTCCGTTTCATTTGGTATTCTCTAGTTTTTTCTGTTTGTGATTTCCACCCTCGTCATGATTCCCTCATTTTGCTCACTTTGGGTTTGGTTTGCATGTCTTTATCTCTGTTTCTTTTTTTTTTTTTTTT